TTTGCTCCTATTCTTCTTTCTTTTGTTAAAAGAAATAGACCTCGGGGGAGGAGAGGGGTGTGGAGTTGCCTCCTTTCTCCCAGCCTCCTACAGGGGGCTCAAACGCCTCCCTTGCTCTGCCTGCCAGTGTCGAGCCAACTGCGCTGCTCCTGTCTGCTGCAGGAGCCTCAGCACATCTGGTGCACTCCATGCCAGAGTGCTCCCTCACTCTCCCTGCCCCCCAGGCTCCAGTGGGGCTTTTAAATCTTCCCACAGCGGCTGGAACGGCCAGCGCAATTGGCTTGGCTTTTCCCTGCCCAGGGAACAGCTGATTAAACCACCAGTGTAATGCTAGCTCACGCGACCGTGGCCGTGGTTCCTGCTCTTGCTCCGGCTGCGCCCCTGGAGGTAAGTTTTCCCTGTGGGGGGCTGTTTGTGGGGTTTGGGGCCCGCAGGGACTGCCCTTTCCCCTTTGGGAGCCTGTGGGGGTGTCTCACCACCACAGTCACTGAAATGCAGCAAACGTTAAACTCAAGTTTTATGTAATTTGACTACAAGTCCTTTGCCTTCTCAATTGCTCAACTTTTAGTCTCATTTTTTTACGTCATCACTTCATTAAATTATCCAGATTCTATAGACACTCTCAGGATAAAGAAGACAAATTCTTACAGAAAACAAGCGAAAAAGAAAACCTTTTGACTACGTTTCAAACCTGCTTAAAAAAGGGCCACAAAGGTCAGTATTTTCCTCTCACTGTTCACTTCTTAAACACTAAAAGCCTGATTCTCCGTTGCTCTAAAACTCTTCTAAATCATTCTGTCAGACTGGTGTAAAAGGCCATTAATGCTAGGTTTAATAATAGATTAAGGCAGGGGTGTAAAATTTATCTGGCCCTTTGCCAGAATAGTGGCAAAGAACTGGTCCATGGGCTTGGATGGGGCCCACAAACCTCCCACTATCCCTTCCCCACGTGTATTGGATCCAACACCAGTGGCGCTTACTCTGGCCAGTCCAGATCTATGGTGCCTGCTCTGGCTGGGACAGGAGTGAGCTACACTGGATGCCTGCTTCAGCTAGTCTGGGTATGATGCTGTGTACAGTGTGGGTCCTGGGATAGGTGGAGCAGGCACCATGTGCAACATAATGCCTGACTGGCTCCAAATCTGGTATGCAGGGGACCTGTGGAGCCCTCCCCACCGCACACTGGATTTAGTGCCTGCTCTGGCCAATCTGGAACTGCGTTACACCCGGCCCCTGCTCTGGACTGGCTGAGGTGGGCACTTCATGTGGTTCGTATCCTGTACGGTCCCAGGCCAGCCAGGACCTAGCATGGACCTAGCCAGGACCTAGCATGGACCTAGCATGCAGGGGTCTTGGACTGGCCCTGCACAAGGCCAACACTGGTAGCTGGATGATGTGGCTTCACAGGTTGTATCTGGCCTGTGGGCTGTATCTTTGACACCCCTAGAGTAAGGCGTCTTAAGTAAAAAATTGTGACCTGAAAGAGGCTGGCTCTGCTTACCTTGGAAGTACCTAAACTCACTCAGGGCCTTCCTACTTGATCTTACATTTCCAAGAGCTTCACCAGGTAGAGGTAGAGATTGTGGAGAAACAAAAATAAATTTCTAGCAGAGAGATTTGCCAATCTGAACTACCATTTGGGAAATATGGCCAAATGAGTAACTATTTTTTTCCTGAGAAATCAGGCAGTTCAGGCTGGCAGTACATTCTACAGCATTGGGCAAACATTTCTACCACAGAGATTTGCCAATCTGAACTGCTATTCAAGAGATATAGGGTCACAGACTAAAGAGGGCACTGAAGCCAGGCCCCCTGCTTTCTGGGCGAGGGGAAAAAACACTATGCAGCAGCAGCACCAGCAGCAGCAAGTTCTCCTAATGCTCCTAAAAGAAAAGAACAAACCCTACTCATGTCTGTGTAGGCACTACCATTGGGAAAGAATTCTGGAATTATGACACCTTAGGCGTAATGCAGTGGTTCTCAAACTTTTTTAGACTTGAAGCACCCCTTGTTAGACTGGAGGCACTCCTCAGAAAATCCCAGCTCCTAGTTTTCACTTATTTTTTGACTACAGAAAAACAATAGAGTAATTTTTCTGTTGCAAATAACTTGACAGACCAGAACAGGTCAGCATGTTTCTAATATTATGGCTTCTCAGCTGAAATTTCTGGGTTTATCCTGTGAATCATATTTCCACTCTTAACAGTGCTAATATTGTGTGGTATCCTGCGTCACCCTTGAAAGGATGTCAAGGTACCCCTAGTTGAGAATAACTGGCTTAGTGTACGGAGGTGCTTGAATACCACAGAGTGGTAGGATTTCATATGTCCCCTTGTGCTGGCAGTTTCCTGTTTGGTCTAGGCAGCCCCCTCTCCCTGTCTGGCGCATGTGGGTATGTTGGACCACTCTTCTGTGGTGCCTGTCCTGTTGTGGGTTCAGTTCAGGTTTCTTTATTCATGGCAACAGAACCCAGACAGCCACAAGACTCCTTCCTCAACTCACTCTCAAACTGCACCCATCCCTGCTTATATGTAACAGTGACAGCCTGGAGGGATATCCTAATCGAGTGGTTCTTGAACAGGGTGTTGCAGCACCCCAGGCTGTCTGGAGATCCTTTCAAGGGTGGCACAGGGTACCATATAGTGTTGGCGCTGTAAGGTTTACAAATAAGGGTCAAAAGATAAACCCAGAGATTTCAAAGGGAAATTCATAGTTCGGGGTTTTCTGAGTTATTTGCAACAGAAACCCCCCACCCCTGCTCTATTATTTTTCTGTAAGCAAAAAAAAAAAAAAAAAAGAGAGAGAGGAAACAAAGAGCTGGCATTTCCGAGGGGCATCACAAGTTTATCCAGTGGTTCTGCAAGGCTAAAATGCTTGAGAACCATTGGCCAAACCTTTAAAGTTATACAGTTCCCACAGTGCCTCATCCCAGTGCCTTGTACAGGGAGCCCAGGGGGTCAATGCAGGCGTCTGGATAACACTCTGCGGACAGGTCACACCGAGGCTGGTAACTCCAGCTTTGTGGGGGAATCTAAAGGTGCTTATGCGAGGCTGCTCTGACATGCTATAATTAAAGTGCATTTCAGCAGACTCGACTGAGTCCGTTGGAGCATGGTACAGGTACTCCTCACTTAATGTCATCCCGGTTAATGTTGTTTTGCTATTACGTCACTGAGCTATTAGAGAACATGCACATTTAAAGTTGCACAATGTTCAATTACAATGTTGTTTAGCTGCCGCCTGCTAGTAGGTAACTACTGTGACGTAATTGGATTCGCTTAACATTGTTTTGCTTAAAGTCACATTTTTCAAGAATGTAAACTACGACGTTAAGCGAGGAGTAGCTGTAATTACTGCGCTCCAGCAGCCTCCAGCATCTCATGTATCAGTGTCCCCAAACTTAAAAATGTCAGCAGGGGTGGTTTATCTAAAGCTCATTTGACAACCTTTAGATAAAGCACCCCAGCCGCTTGTTTGACAAGCTTTAGATAACGCCTGGGCTTTGAAGTCACCCCAGGACCCACCCAAGAGCCATGGCAGAGGGCATCTTCCCATGGAGGCATATAGCATACAGGAGATAATAATGAGCCAGGAAGTCAAGGGACTCGCTATGGGCATTTCCCGTACTTTTGGGCTCTGTTGGTTGCCCCTGTCCTCTTCCCCCCTTTCTGCCACGTGTCAGGGTGCTTTGGGGTGTCTTCACAGGTGCTCCAATGTGGGTTGGGGAGCGCTTTAATGAGAGTGGCTCTCGGGAACCGCTTTAATAAAGTGTCCAGAGTCTCGTGTATTCAGTGGCCTGTGCTTCACAATGGTGGCAGAGGCACTTTAACTAAAGCACGTTCAATGAGCTTTAGTTCAAGTACCCCTGCTGCCATTTTGAAGTGCGGGGATGCTGATACACGTTATGTTGAGGCTAATGGAGCGTGCTAATGATCAGACTTCAGCAGGCTTGATTAATCAATTCTGCTCTGATGCATTCTAATTAGAACACGTCAGAGCGGCGTTGGGCACGTGTATACGTGCTCTTTAAGCCTCCCTTACAGGTATTGGCTGCAGCCAAGGCTAAAGACTTCAACTGGGGTGTGCCAATGGCCCCACTGGGAGCAAAGCCAGAGGTTTCTGGCTGGAGGGTCTTGCACCGCTGCTCAGAGTCAGACTGATAGCCGTTATTTGGGGTCAGGAAGGAATTTTACCCCATGGCCAGATTGGTATGGACTGGCCAAAGGAGGGACGGAGGGGTTACCGTTCTCTCTAGCAGGACCTTGGCCCTGTTTTTGGGATCTCTCGAGCATGTATTAACCACCACTGCAGCAGCAGGACAATGGCCGCCGTAGACCCCACTTGCTTTACCTATGGCACGGTAAGGTGTTGTGCATGTGTGCGTCAGGGCTGACTGTAGCTTAGACCAGGGGTTCCCAACCTTTTTAGATCACGGACCAGAAGCCACTGCAGACCAGCAAACCAAGGACTGCAGTCTGGAAGTGACCAGCAGACTACTTGGTATAAAAAAGGGTTGGCTACTGCTCCACAATAGGCTGGTCACTTCCAGACTTGCAGCCAACCCTTACCAGGCCACGGCCTGGGAACCTATGGCTCAGACACTGGGCTTGTAGGGGCTGGTCTGGAGAGGGAGGCTGCTGCCTCAGGCAGGGAGCTGCACTAAACTTCTGCAGATCCCTTCCAGCCCTGCTTCCCTAGGACTCCCTCACTGGTGCCTGGATAGAGAAACCCCTGCTGTGAGAAGAGCGAAATGGGGGGAAAAAAATGACCCCGCCCCCGCACCTGTAGGCGGGCGTGGGGGAGGCACAGTGTAGGCGCCACGGTCACAGCGAGGCTGCGGCATGACGTCACGCCCATTTGGCCCCGCCCCGCGGCTGGAACCCGGAAGTGGGCGGAGCCAGCGGCTGCCGGCTGGGCTGGTGCCGCTCGGCGCGCGGACTGGAGCAGCACTGCTCCGCCTGGGCGGGCTGGCGGGCGCTGGGGGCGGAGGGCAGGAAGCCATGGAGATGCTGCTGCCGCCGGTGTGAGTGCGGGCGGGCGGGGGCTTGCTCCCCATCGCGGCCCCGCGTGCTGGAGCTGCCGGGTGATGCATGCATCCTCCCCCCCTCCCCCGTGTTCTGGAGAAATCGCCCTTGCTGAAGCTGGTGCGGGGCCAGCCCGAGCTTGGGCACGGAGGCGAGGGGAGATGGGAGGCCTGAGTTGTACCGTGGGGCCCGGAGGCTTCTGCGAGGCTGCAGCTACTCCTGGGCAACTCCTGGCGGCCCCGCGTGCTGGAGCTGCCGGGTGATGCATGCATCCTCCCCCCCTCCCCCGTGTTCTGGAGAAATCGCCCTTGCTGAAGCTGGTGCGGGGCCAGCCCGAGCTTGGGCACGGAGGCGAGGGGAGATGGGAGGCCTGAGTTGTACCGTGGGGCCCGGAGGCTTCTGCGAGGCTGCAGCTACTCCTGGGCAACTCCTGGGCAGCCCCTGCGGGGAGGAAGGGAAGGAGTTCCCAGAGGCACTTGAAGTGTGGGGACAATGCCGTAGCCCCGACGGTTTGAGTCCTGCACGCGGGAGAGGCGAAGGTCCTAGCGGGCTGTGTGTCTCACGTGGCTGGAGCTCCTGGGTATTGTGGTGCCCTTTCTAGAAGGGTCCCTCAAGAGAAACAGCTGGCACTGGCCGTGCAGGTGGGCTAGTGAGGGATGCTGCTGCTGCTGCCCACAAGGGTTCTTGCCTCCCAGCTGTTTCAGCTTGACAGGTTTTTACATCCCTAGTCCTGACCGGCCTTGAGGTTGAGGTGGGATGAGTGTCCCGGTGACTAAGCTGTTGAACCGGGGGTGGAGAGCTCCTCTGGTGCCCACGCTGCTCGCCACCCTCCTTTGCCGGCTGGTGTAGGAATCTGACTCTCGTCTGCTTCAAGGACCATGTGGTTCCCTTGTGCTTGAGGTCGTCTCTGTGTTATCTCCCTTGCCAGCTCAGGACTTTGTGTCTGGGATTTAGGAGTCACCCTGGCACTTGACCAGAGGCTGTATGTTGATATCCATCACTTAAGTGGGGATACTTGACCTGCTCTTGCCTTTCCTTATGTTTTACAGTGTGTTGGTACTTTCACAACTAGCCTTTCAGAGAGAGCTGGCACCAGTGTGTATGTAGCAGGCCAGGCTTGAAGGAGGTTGGGGGAAGTTAGCCATGGGGAAGGGTGTGATAGAGGGGAGGGGAGAGACGGGGATAAAAATCCATCTCTGTAATTGGAAGCACTTTATGATCTTCCAAAATCTAACAGGTCAAGACTTTGACATATGGAGCTAGAAATGACAACTGTCTCCCAGCTGTTGTTTTTGGTATGTGTTAAATGTGTTGCCTGTCTGTTTACAGACCACAGACTTACTTTTTAAAAAAAAAGAATACCAACACAGGCATGCTTTGATGCCATATAGCTTGAATTCTGTCTATTCCTTGTGCATCTTCCATGACTGTCTTCTACCTTTTTTAATGATTGTTGCAATCTGACATGCAAGGGATGGCATATGTTTCCTCTGAATGATTAAACTGTAGCTGTTTTTTTGGAAGAGTAAATTATTATGGTAGTACTGACATTTTCTTAGGAACAGGGATTATCTCATGCAGCCAGGGACAATGCATGAATAGTTTAGGCAGTTTGAGTTTGACTGTTCATTCTTATCTGCAATGTCAGGAATGCTTTTTTCATGATATCTATAGGGAGCATTTTTTGCTTGCATAAGGTCTCAAACTATCCCCAGGCTGATTCAACAGCCACATCATCACCTTTAACTAAATAGTCAGGGTAGTTAAGAGTGCATTGGACTCAGAGCATTGTTCGCCTTTAACTCCTGGTAGTCTCATTTAATATGCATGGATTTATACTTTACTTAATCCAGTAGTTTCAGATGCTACTGAATTGAGCCTCTAGACACAGATGAAATAGAATTAGTGCCACATACAACTGTTACTCAACTGGAGGTACAAATAAACAAAGCCAAAGTAATTAGAAGTGGGTAAAATAGTTGTCAAAATACAGTGCATATTAAGGGAATCTTATGGGCTTGATAACGCATGACGTGTGTTTTATAGTTTAGCATTTGACAAAAAGTTTCGTCAAATGGATGGAGAGTTCTTCATGTATTAATATGTTAGCAACCGTGCCATCTGTTCAGTGCGTTTGGCAACCCTTTAAAGACAGCATTCAGAGCAGGCTTGTAGTTTTCAGGAACCACTAAATTTCTCAGTGGCTATACCACCAAGTGTGAGTGCTGCCTTGGAATGAAAAAACTTGTTGTAGAAGAGGTATTCCTAACCTGGACCTGTTGCATAGGTAAGTGTAAGAAGTGCCATGTCAGGAGTGGAGGTTTTAGGGGGAGAGCATATGAACAAGGTACATACAGAGTTGTCTGTCACTTGTCATACCCTTCCTGCACTCACCATCATTGATTTAGCCATATAGCTCTGACTATTTAACAGCTGTTACTGGATTTATAAGAGTGCAGTGGAGTAAATTGTATAGATTTGTACCTTGGTTAATTACTTTCCAGTAATAATATGTATTTCTTAAAATCTCTGGGCTGTGTTTATCATTTTTAATTCCTTATGTGATGGGAGATCCCAAAATGGAGCATGTGGATTGGAAAAGTTTAAGTTCATTCCCTAAGAAAGTGGTGGATGTAGATCTTTTTACACACATTTGATGCTGTGTGTAGATGTTCCATAATGCATATTATATGTAAGATCAGAAGTTCTTTATAACTTTGCTTTTCTGCACACTGATTATAAAATTCTGTTTATCTACTAGCTTTCCTCAGAATAGCTGGAATTGTAGCTGCTCATCTAGGAAAGTTCTGAGAAGTTAAGTGTGCCTGCAAAACTTTAAAATTCCCAGTCCTTTAAAGCTCAAATATAGCAAGTGTGAAACTGCCTGGTGGCTTGAGGTTGTGAAACCCTACTCCTTTTTTTGATCACTATCTTTTGATAACAGTTATTTATTCCTGTGTGAATTAGCACCTTTACTCTTTCATGGACCTTGAGAATTGGTTCTGGGATCCTGAGAGGTGCAACAAAAATGTGTTTCTTTCTAGTTTGTGGTATTCCAGGCTTAACTCAAGTTCATCACCATCGTGCATTTGCTAGCTGTCTTTTTTTTTTTTTTTTAAAGCCACTTCAGACATATGAAGGACCTGTACTCTTCAGTATCTTCATCAGTGACTTGGATGTGGGTGTGAAGTGCATTGTGTCCCAAGTTTGTGGACGATACTAAATTGTGGGGTAAAGTGCACACTCCAGAGGGTAGGGAACGATTGCAGGCAGACCTGGACAGGTTAGAAAACTGGGCAGTACACAGTAGGATGCAGTACAAAAAGGGCAAGTGCAGAGTGCTGGAGCTAGGGCACTAAAATATCCACCACACCTAATGGCTGGGAAGTGACGCTCTCAGCAGCACAGAAGTGGAAAGGGATTTTGGAGTCATAGTGGACTCCAAAATGAATATGAGTTGTCAGTGTGACGATATCATCAGCAAAGCTAACAACACTTCATCATGCATCAGCAGATGCATGACAGATAGAACCAAGAAGGTGATACTTCCCCTCTATGCGGCATAGGTCAGACCACAGTTGCAGTACTGCATGCAGTTTTGGCTGCTGCACTTCAAGAAGGATGTTGATAGACTCGAGAGGGTACAGAGGAGAGCCATTCGTATGTTTAGGGGCTTACAGAATAAGCCCTGTGAGGAGAGACTGAGGGACCTCTTCAGCCTCTGCAAGAGAAAGCTGAGAGGTGATCTGGTGGCTGCCTACAAATTCATTAGGACGCAGCAAGGGATTGGAGACGCTCTGTTCACCAGGGCTTCTCTTGGGGTAACAAGGAACAACGGTCACATACTGACAGGGAGCAGATTTAGGCTAGATATCAGGAAAAACTTCTTTATGGTAAGGGCGGCCGAAATTTGGAATGGAATTCCAAGGGAGGTCGTGCTGTCCCCTACCTTGGGGGTCTTTAAGAGGAGGCTGGATAGGCATCTGGCTGGGGCCATCTGACCCCATCACTC